TCTGGTGGTTTTATAAGTGTCTGGCATTTCCCCTGCTTGCAATTCTCCTTCCTGCTGCCTTGTGAAGAGGGTACCTTTCTTCCCTTCTGCCTTCTGCAATGATTGCAAGTTTCCTGAGGCCTCCCCAGCCATGCTGAACTGTGAGTTAATTAAACCACTTTCGTTTATAAATGTCCCAGTCTTGGTTATTTTCTTTTAGCAATGTGAGAATGAATTAATAAAGCCTTGACAGGATATTCATTTGAATTTCACCAATTTTCCCACTGTCTTTTGTTCTGGTTCAGGACCCAGTCCAGTGTCCCATGTTGTACTTATTCATGTCTCCTTAGCCTGCTGCAAGCTGTGGCAGTTTCTATGTTTCCTTTTCTTTAGTGGCCTTGACACTTTTAAAGAACTCTGGCTAGTTATTTGTAGAATATTCCTCAGTTTGAATTTGTCTGATGTGTTCTCACGTTAGGTTCATGCATTTTTGACATTTTGAGGAAAATGTCACAAAAGGCATGGTGTGTTCTTCTAAGTGCATCATATCTAGGTTACATGATGTCAGTGTATTTTATTACTGGTCTGATTAACTTCCATCACCTAATAAGTCTCCCATGGGAAGATATTTTGAAATTATTTCTGTTTCTTATCACACTTTTTTTAACCTACTAATTTTAGCATCCATTGATAATTCCTGTCTGCAAAAGTTATCACTGTTCTATTTTCCTAATGGTGATTTTCTGTTTTCATCATTTTTTCCACATTGATTGATTGGAAATTTACTGTAAGGAGTATTTATTTATTCAAATATTTTTATGTAGGTATGAACTAATGGTTGTTTATTTTCTCATGAGTTTTGATTTTTTTTTCCTTTAACCATCCCAGATTTGGCCATCAGAACCCCTTCAAGTTCATTCCTACTTCCTTATAACATGTCCCCATCCTTTTTATGAGCACTTCTTTTCTTGCTGGCACACGAGATATTACAAGTCATCTTGTACTTTCCCTTTCTCAGCCCTGTAATCAAATATTTATCCAAGGAGTTCTGGTTCCTTTTATTGCATAAACCAATATGTAGGCACTACGTGTGCTCTTTGCTACTAGGGCATCATTGTTCTAGGCCTTCTCAGTGGACAGAGCTAGGAAATAGATGATGTATACTCACACACATTCACATGGGAGTATCTTTGTTTTTATGGTTTTTAAAAATATCTCTTATTTATTTTATATCTACTTTATAGATATTTTATACTATCTACTATATATATCTGTAAATCTAACTTTTATCTATCTGTCAGAGTTCTTCAGAGAAACAGAATCAATAGGAAATATGTATCTATGTATATAGAATCAGTAGCAAAGCTATATCTATATATAGAATCAGTAGGAATTACATATCTATATATAGATATAAATAACACATAGATATAGACAATATATACAATCTATTATAATATATAATAAATCTATATACATATATCTATGTATATAGATGTCTATATGTATATAGGTATCTATTATACATAGGTATCTATATCTATATAGATATAGATAATTGTGTGAGCCAATTCCTTATAATAAATACATATATGTTATATATATATATATATATATATATATATGTAGATATAGATATAGAGAGCCAATTATATGGAATTGGCTCAAACTGTTATGGAGACTAAGAAGTTCTACAACCTGTTGTCTGTAGGAAAACCAGTGGCGTAATTCTAATCTGAGTCCCAGAGCCTGGGAGCCAGGAGAACTGATGATATAAGTCCAAGTGCAGAAGAAGACTGATGTCCCAGCCAGGCAAAGAGAGCTAATTCTCTTTTTTGCTACTGTTTGGTCTATTCAAGCCTCCAAAACATTGAATGAGGCCCACCTACTTTGGGGAGTATAATCTGCTTTACTCAGTCCACCAATTCAAATGTTAATTTCATACAGAAACACTTACAAATGTGTGCTAAATAATTTTTAATCAAATATCTGGGCACTCTGTGGCCCTGTCAAGCCAACACATAAAATTAACCATTACTCATCTATGTATCTATCTATCTATCTATCATCTATCTATAAAATTAACCATTACTCTATCTATCATCTATCTCTCTATCTAATCTGATAGTCGACCTCATCTATCTAAAAACCATGATTTTACACTGATTCCTCTAAGTTCAATTAAACTACAATGTTCATTCTAGCCTTCTCCATTGTCTTACTTGTAACCCTTTCTCTGACAGTGAGGGACCTGATATTCGTTATCCTCAATATATTTGCTTATTTGTTCAATCCTGGAGCACACATGAAGAGTTTCAGGATTGCTAGCCTTTACCTCTATGGAAAAAACACTTAATTTGCCAACTTGAATACAATATTTGTATAGAATTCATTTTATTTTTAGCCTAATAATATACAGTCAAAATACTGTTTGACAAAGATACTTAGGTTAGTTCTTCTCCTCTCCTTTGGTGTAGTTATATTATTAATTTGTCATATATTGGGATCATGTTTATTGTTTGTATTCCATTGGGAATCTCCTCACACCTTGGTTGATTTTAACTTTTTAAATTGGTTCTGGTGATATGCTAAATATAATAAGTCAGAGCTAGACATTAAAAATGATATACTTAGAGAAGAGTCATTTTCCATCATCCCTGCTACCCCACACCCGCCCACTGCCCCATTCTTTCCACGCTGTTTGCACCCAGCACCTTTCAGTAACTATTGCCAGTAATTTCTAGATTATTCTTCCTGTATTTCTTTTGCACAAATTAGCAGATACCAATATATTTTCCGATATCTCTGCCTTTCTTACATGAAGTTTAGCCTGCTATAAATACACTTTATGGTTTTTTTTTAATGTAACAGGATATATAAAAATTACTCCAAGTATTTTTTTACAGTTACATGGTAATCTGAGTGAATGAGGCATAGTTGATTCAACCACAACCACTCTCTTACATGAGCATTTTTCTTCCTAATATGTTGCAATTACAACCAATGCTGAAATGAATAACCTTTCATTTACGTATTTACAGATTACTGAACATATATCTTCAGCGTAGTTTCCTAGAACTGAAATTAGTGGGTCATAGTAAGTATGTACGCAGTTTTGTCAAGCACTGCTAAATTATCAAGAATGGTTGTGCCAGTTCGCATCCTCATCAGCAATGCAGGGGAATGCTTGTTTCTCTACAGCCTTGCCAACAGAACATGTTGTCTCCTTGTTTTCACCAATCTAATAGGTGAGAAAAGGCATATAAGTTAAGCATTGGTTTAATTTGCATTTATCTAATGATTGGTGATCTGAACTTTTTAAAAATTTTTTTAATTTTTATTTTCTGAGATGAAGTCTCACTCTGTCACCCAGGCTGGAGTGCAGTGGTGTGATCTCAGCTCACTGCAACCTCCGCCTCCCAGGTTCAAGCAATTCTCCTGTCTCAACCTCCCAAGTAGCTGGGACTAAAGTGCATGACACCACGCCCGGCTAATTTTTTGTATTTTTAGTAGAGACAGCGTTTCACTGTGTTAGCCAGGATGGCCCATTTTTTTGTATGTTTAAGGGCCAATTTTTATATTTTTGTGTAAACTATCTGTTCATATCTTTTTTTTTCATTTTCCTATCATGCTTTTGGTACTTTATCCCTCAATTTTCAGGAGTTCTTTACGTAGTAAGTAGATCAACTTTTGTCTGTGTTATACATCACAGATATTTTCCCCCTAGTTTTGGTTATCTTTTGGTCTTTTTTAAATGGTGTTTCTCGTCCTGCAAACTTTTTCTTAATTTTATGTGGTCAGATTGATTAAACTTTTCTTTTGTCTATAATTTTATGTATACTTCAAAAAATGTGTCTGTCCCATCCTTGAAAGTCTTAGGCATTACTGCAGCACAAAAGAGAGAAATAGATTACTCTAGGAGATTTTAAACCAGAGAAAGTAGGGAAGTGGAAACCCCAAAGGCTCTGAAGTCAGGTGGATTCCATTTGCACCTAGTTTCAGTGTCTTCTGTTTAGCTGTGGGACCTTTGGTAAAGTATTTAACCACCCAGAGCCTGTTTTTTCTCATCTGTAAAATGAGACGATAAAACCTACCTTGCACTGCTATGAGGATTTGAAATGCTTGTTTCAGTACATGGCACCAATGAGACCTTTTATTATTATTATTGTATTCATGATACATCAAATGCCAAGTGATAATTTAATGAAAACCTTGAGAAGTATCTGATTTTTTTTCTCAACATTATCTCATCAAGGCACCACCACTTCTGTAAGAACAAAGAATCTGAGAGATTTTCAACAATTCACCTGTATTTTCATCACAATTGTTCTTTTTGCCCTCTGAAATACTTCGTCTTTTGAAATACTATCGTGTCTCTTGTTCTATAATGAATTCAGAGAAAAGTTATGAGGATAAAGGAGTTAACATCCATAATGCATACTGAGCTGGCAGATAAGAGCATCAAAATGAGTTTCAGAAAGAATCCTAATTAACCCAATTTATTATCACCTTATCTCTCCAAAGCCCCTTCCTGCCCCCAACCTCAAGTTGAAAGTTTTCTGGTCATTCCCCAAAGGACACATACTCCTTCGAACAAGGAATCAGCTGATACTGGTTATTGTCAGTACCACAAAGGTACTCACTAGAATTCCTGTTGCCAAATGTGTTCTTCCCTTAACAGGCAATTTCTTTTCAGTTTGCCTGTGAAACTAAACAGAGGTCCATAGGGAAGTCTGATGTCACTTTTGTTTTCAATACCATTCGAAGCAAACACAACCAAGAGTATTTCTTTAATCTTTTGGCAGCTACTTCTAAATTATTTGAACATGATGAAGTTCCCATCTACCAATAAGTTAATCAGGTGGGTAGGTACCCTGATAGAGTACAGATGTCTTGCAGGACAGAAAGAATGTCTATGGGTACATGGATGGGAATAGATTCTTTTTTTCTGGTTAACTTTTGATTGTTTTTCTCATTGCTTTATCCCCAGTGGAGTGATTTGGAAACCGTTGTCTTTATACCTTTTGCAATTCCTCAGAGCTTCAGGGCACATGCAATGGATGGGGAGGAAAAAGACAGGAAGGGAAAAAGGAAAAGCAGTGAATTTGGATTGCAATTCTACTATAATCTATGCACTACACTAGCTACATAGGGACTTTATTATTACTATTATTAATGACATAGTCTCCCTCTGTCACACAGGCTGGAGTACAGTGGCATGATCATTGTTCAGGGTAACCTTGAACTCCTGTGCTCCAGTGATCCTCCCACCTCAGCATCCCAAGGAGCTGAGGCTACAGGCACATACACTACCATGCCCAGCTAATTTTTAAATTTTTTGTAGAGATGGGGATCTCTTTATTTGCCCAAGGTGTCTCAAACTCCTGGCCGCAAGCAGTCCTCCTGGCTTAGCCTCCCAAAGTGTTGGGATTACAGGACTGAGCCCCAGAGATTTATTATTTTAGTGGCTCTCAGTCAAGGCGATGTCACATCCACCATTTTGAAAATTTGTGGAACCACCTTTTTGTTGTCATAAAAATTGAAGAGTTCTGCCACCATTGATGGGTTGATGTATTATATAATTTAAAAAATTGTTTTTTGTCCCCTGTTTTTGGCACACAGCTTCTAAAACTCTTAGTCTCCTGAGTGATAATTACCTTTCGTACACGAGTGAGATGTTTCTTGGGGTGAGGGGTCAGGGCTAGAAAGCTTCAGGATGGGGGCTGGTAACCACAAAGACCCGTGAGAGGGTTGGAACTTTCAGCCTACTCCCACCCCTCTGCACCAGCCCTTTCTAACCTCTGGGAAAGAGAGAAGCTAAGATATTTGAGTTCAATCGCCAACAGGCAATGATCTAATCAATCATGCCTATGTTATAAAACCTCCATAAAAGTCTCTAAACAACAGGGTTTGGAGAGCTTCCTGGTTGGTAAACACATCAATGTGCCAGGAGGGAGGTGTGCCAGGACAGAGAGGGCATGGAAGCTCTGCCTCTCCCTCCTTCCCACCCCAAACCTTGCCCTATACATCTCTTCCATTTGGTATTTCTGAATATATTCTTTATAATAAACTTGTAATAGTTAAGTATATCACTTCCTGAGTTCTATGAATTGTTCCATTGAATTATCAAACCTGGGGGTGAGGGTGGCAACCCCTACATTTGTAGTTGGTTGAACAGAAGTCTGGGTAGCTGGGGCACCCCATTTGCGGCAGCCATCTGAAGTGGGGCAGTTTTGTGGGACTAAGTCCTTAATTTGTAGCATCTGCACTAACTCCAGAGAGTGTCAGAATTGAATTGAGTTGGTGGACACCCAGCTGGTGTTGGAAAAGTAACCATGCAAGTGGGAACCGAGGATGCATTATGCTCTATAACCTGCAATGCCTGGAACAGCTCTGCATAAGGAAGAATTATCCTGCATCCTACCTGAATTTCAAAGGGGCCAATGGAACAGCTACAGAGATAAAAACTCATTGGCGACTATCTAGGCCTAGAATCTGCATTCATTTTACTTACAAAGTATGTTTTGCACAGGTTTTACATGCGTATTTTTTACATACATATAACTTTCCAGGATTGCAACTATGATGTAAACTGAAGGAAGACTGCACTTTGTTTTGTGCTCTGTGGTACTTCAATACTCCATACCCATAGTGTCTGCATTTGCACTTGTCACATATATGGTGAAAAACATAGGTGCAAAATCACATCACTTCATTATGTCATCTAGTGTAGTTATGCCTCAGCATTTATAAGTTATTTCATTATAAATATATCTTATGTTGGCTCGGTGCTGTGGCTCATGCCTGTAGTCTCAGCAGTGTGGGAGGCCGAGGTGGGTGGATCCTGAGGTCAGGAGTTCGAGATCACCCTGGCCAAGATGGTGAAACCCCGTCTCTACTAAAAATACAAAAATTAGCTGGGTGCAGTGGCAGGTGCCTGTAATCCCAGCTACCTGGGAGGCTGAGGTAGGAGAATCACTTGAACCTGGGAGGCAGAGGTTGCAGTGAGCCAAGATCACACCACTGCACTCCAGCCTGGGTGACAGAGTTAGACTCTGTCTCAGTAGATAGATAGATAGATAGATATCTTTTATATCATCTTTATATCACATGTGGGCATTATATAGAGTTTTGTATTGTGTGTGTATGTAGGTTACATAATTTATGAATTTTATCTCAAGATAACAAATGAGATATTTGCAAAATATTTGCAATAAAATTATAGCATTTGTTTCAAAAGGGTTGAGACATGCTGTATTATTTTATCAATTGAACACAACAGTTTTGAGAAGATCTCTTATTAGCCCCATCTTGTAGGTGTACGAACTCTAGCTCAAATGATTAAGTCTCTTATCCAAAGCCACACAATCAGTAAAGTGGCAAAGCCAGGAATCAAACTGTTCCTGTTTCCAAAGCCCTGAACTTGTTCAAAATAAAAGGACAAAAGACAGAGGGATGGATTAAGGAATAAGGATAGAGGAAGAAAGAGGAGAAAGGGAAAAAAGAGAAACAGTATGAGAATAGCGAAAATATACAAATTAATTTTTGTTTCGATTGTTAAACTCTATTGAGTAATATAAATATATGTAAAAAGTTCTCAATAATGTCGCATGATGCCTCCTATATAGGAGGCATATTAAAAATGCTGAGAATACAAAAATAATTTTTTAAGAGTATGACATAATCCTGTCCCTGAGAAATTTGAAGCTGAGTTGGGACAATAGAATATATTATATTTTAAATAAATAAATGAATAAACAATATGGGCCAAGATACATTAAGTGCAAAAAGAGAGAGGTAGCATCATCTATTCATCTAAATGTATCTCATTTCTAGATAGCCTTTCCCTTCTCATGCCACAGACAAGAAATGGGAAGCTAAATGGTTATGTGCTCAATGGAAACATGTGACTAGCACACACATTTTTCCCTCCTAAGTAATATTGGTTCCTGAAACCATGGTTGATCCTGGCTTTATAAGACACAATTTAACACTAGTTTTCTCATTCCGTAGTTAATGTCTTGAGGATGTAGTGACTTTTACTGGAAGAAAATACAACAACCCCAAAGTGCAGATCAGTCAATTTGCCAGTAAATGCATATGATGCTTTGTACCACGTCCAAATGTCACAGCTATCACTCTGCACGTGACTGGCTCACTTCCTGATCCTATGAAGCTACTGATTTTCTCACTCTTCACCAATCCCTATGATTTATTGTACAGGGAGCTGGAGTCTCTTTGTCCAGGTGGGTAGTTTTTGTTTTTGTTTCAAGGATTCGAAGGCAGAGGCAGATGTCTGTAAAGGCAATGAACCTTAAGATTCAGGGCTCCTCGTGTACACAGTTCCCTCCCAAGACCTAGGGAGAAGGCCAACAATAAGTTCACATAGTCATCAGTTTTAATAGCATTTCAAAAGTAAGATATTGTCACTACAACAGGTTAAGGCTATTGTCTCTTTCCCCTTGGGCTCTCCCTCCTTCACATGCCCTTTTGTTTCAGGGGACAATGGAGCGGCCATATTTTCAGCTCCAGCTAGGGAGAACTTGAGATGAAGACACATTTAGTTTGAGTGTAGCAGGATATATTTTTGTGGTTTGCATTCACTTCTGTACATAGTTAAGTAGGTTTAGCTGTCCTGCGGTAAAAATGTCTTCCAGGAATATTTCTTTCCTTGACTGGGCTGGCTCACCCATCCTCAATTGTGAAATGAAAATACAAGACCAGAAGCTGTGTGCACTACCAAAGTGTCACAGAGTGCCTGGCACTGGATGTTTATGACTAGTGTAGAGAAGCAAGGTGTGAAATGTTTAGAGACAGAAGCTGGTCTATGAAAAAATTCTTCCAAATCTTAGAGCTCATATATAAAAAAGAAACATGTGGAGGCTTGCCCAAATTTGGCAACAATCCTAAAAATTATTGATATTACCCATCACAGCTGGTATA